ATATATTGGTATAGTAATGTTGTAATAATAAACAGTCAACATCAGTAGTTATAACCATATTTTTATGCAAAAACGCGTGTTCACGTCAAAGTTTATACTGCAGGTTTTTATCATATACGCAACTAAAAATAATTTCACTCGCCACGCTTTATAACGGTATAAATGATATATTATCATAGTAGTGTTATCTATTATATATACAAACGGGTTATTCATCTTTTGGTCAAAATCATTATTACCTTCGCCCAAACGAAACAACCACCCCTAACAATACTGCTGCTGGTATATACCGCGAGCATTGCGAGCAATAGCCGAAAAGAAAATCTCGCTGTGTAGGTGCACCTACATATGATGTTATTGATGTTAATTGTTAATTACACAGTAACTAACGAACATTTTCAGCCGTTTCCCTCTAATCACGAGTATATTGTTATACCTACTTACACGTCATATACCACGTAGTAGTATGTATATAACGATGACGTGTGACAGATGTGCAGAGAGGCGACTTGCAACGACGGTGTCGGAATACCAAAGCTGAGCGGAACAATGGCAAAATGTATGTAAACATTAATATGTACATATTATGTGGGTTTACGTTGAGCGGTTTTGCGATGGCGAGCTCGATTCGWAGGCAAAACTCTTTTCTGAAGAAAATTAAAACAATAAAATCGTCTAACTCACGCCGCGAAGTCTGTTGTACCTTTGCAGGGCTTATTAATAATGGCGTATTTCCAAATATTAAAGAATTTTTATCATATGTCATTTAAATAATACATCTTTTATTATTATTTTTTTTTTTATAATTTTGTTGAAGAACTTAAAATTTAATTTAATTTTTGATTAACTTCATTAAGTTAAAACGTTATTTTCTTTAACTTTTTATAAAGAAAAAATGGTTGACACCAGCTAGGCTTACTTTATTTTTTTTTTACTAACTCAAACCTAAAATGTAATGTTTATTTTGTATTCCTATAAACTGCAACTGCTTCATTGAAGTTTTTCATTTCTAAGAATAGTCAAGTAATTCACAGCAAACGTTATTTATCCCCTAAATATTCTTTGACCAAAAATMAAAATCGATTGAAATATATTAAAATRAAATAAAATTGAACACAAAATATACTTAACTTCATAAAATTTCACGTTAAATGTTAGTTAAGTTAAATTAACAGAACCCCAAAAGCAACTATACCTAATTATAAGTTAAGAAGTTATAATACAATTAACGTTTTAACTAGTTAATTCACAGTCATATTGAATAAAATACAGACGAATCACATATTTTACTTCTATGGCTAATATATATATTTATATTTGAGAATGGTTATTTGTTATATAAACCCGAAAAAAATACAGTTTTGATTTTTAAAAAAAATACAGAATATATTGTTATTGAATCAATTTTTAATGTTTATATACATGTAATTTTTTTTTTTTAATTATAAATAGAACATTCGTACTTAAACTGTATCTAAACTTTATTTTATTTTAAATTTTTATGTGTACCAGAACCCACATTTCGATATGATCATAATTTAAGTATAATATATTACTATCTATAATGTTATAAATACTTTCAGGTCCATTGAGATTAATAGACTACGATTTGTAAAATATAAAATACCTAAATTCTCTAAAAACTATGAAGTAACGTGCAATTAATAAATTATTTATTCAATACGATATAAAAAATATTAATTGAAACAGATTCAATATACCAAAATAATGTGAACTTAACGCTAAAAATATAAAAAGTATAATTATGAAAAAATATTAATTGAAACAGGTATATACAAATATTTAATAAGACATCTTTATGCAAATTGTACAAACAAATGATATACCTAATATTTTGTCAATCTTGCTGCGCCGGAAATCATTATGCATTATGAATAGGATTTTTTTGTTAAAAGATTATGCGTAGTAGTGTATTATAATCTTCTCAAATTCTAAATTGTTAAAGTCCAAAAGAATATTCTTCAGATTTAATTTTTTCCGGTATTTTTCACTTTACAGAAAGAAGCTTAGTATATATAGCGAGAAAAACACGCAAACCTGCAATATCTACGTGTATACAACAATAACAACCTCGGTGTATGTATAATGGCAACAAAATATTATGAATTAGGTATAAACCATAGAACACGTATGTGGTCGAACTTTGAATGCATAATATCGGTTTCACGCAATGCACATTATACATAATATGATTTCCACACGGCATGCGCATCTGTTTAAGCTCTGAGTATGTATATACGCGGACATACAACGGGATGCAGTAGTATGATATAATATACTTTGGTATATATACAAATATATTATAGTTTATTATGCACTTTATACTAGACGATAATATATTGTAATATTTCTGTGACAAAAACGCCTCAGATTTAAATAACATTTTTACTTGAAATACATCGATTCATCCAAAACATTGAATTATAACAATTTTTATAAAAATATTATGTGAATAATTATGAATAGTGTAAAATGTATTGTTACGTCCAATGGCCTCAGATACCGCTGATAATTTGTTTAGTAAAAAAAAAAATAAAAAAAATAATGTTAATTTTATAAACATGAATTATTATTTGCTGACTGTATATGTGTTGCTCTATTATTATTATGCACTGATGCACTRTCAATACTCATTAACTATAGGTAGTAAAACGGAGACAATAAAATATTGCGTCTATAATATATGCGTATAATATATGACAATATTAATTTTCTTTTTCCTACATTAAGTTAATTTTGTACATATATAAACTAAATTTTTTTTATTCTTGTAACTAATAATTTTATCTTACATCAAAATTGGGATTTGCACATAACGATACTTTAATTTATTTTTGAATTAAATTTTTGCACCTATATTTGAGTGGATTTTTRTTAGAGGTTGTATGGAATATTTCAGTTTTGTTTTACGGATCACAGAAATCCTATACTAATAATACCTAATTATAAATGCTGCAGTACTGATAAAAGTCGAGTAGCTCAAAACTTCGTTCACGAAATCCGCACGAAAAACGTAACGTGCAATTATTGATAAGTTTTTTTTTTTTTTTCACCATGGACGAACACGAATCCTATTCGAATAACTAAACGTACCGAGTGTGCAGCTGTATAGCTGGTACCTACAAACAGAAGTCACTGCTGCTGTGTGGAACACGTGTAAACGTCGTCATCGTTTCGGAACGCATTGCACGTGAGTACATGTGTTACATCCGTACGTGTAGTATAATATATACATCACAGCGGTCTTCCTCTGTTACGTGACATTTAGATTTTATTGCTTGTGTAATAATGTACTACGTACGGGAAACAAAGAGCACGAGAAAAAAAAATAGTATAGAAATAGAAATAGTATAGCAATACAGAAATCGGGTGTTCTCGAACTGCAGCCATGAACCGCAGTAGTTAAATTATAAATTATAATAATGAAATAATTGTATTATCTGTTTTTGATAATAAAATTCAAATAACATACACACACTCAAAAACATAATATTTTAATGTAATTATTATTACATTGTGAATACGCGTGTTCGTGACGATTATTCATTTTTCCTAAAAATTTCGTAGCGTATAATATGACGTATAAACATGATATACCTACCGTGCAGTGTTCACCAATTTAGGGAACACTAAATTTCTCGGTCGGATTATGTTGGAATAAATCGAATTTTTTTTTACAAGCTAGTGATGGTATATAAATACACATTTTCAGATAAATTTCAAAATTTTAACCCTCTCGATACGCGCATGCGCAATCAAACTTATTTTATTTTTTTAATAGCAACCGGTATTTTTGATACCAAATTCGGATAGAATGAACTTTTTTAAGTCGTTTTGACCATTTAACCATGGCTCTTAAACCAAAAATGACTGAATGAGAGCCATTCAAATTTTAATAAATAATAAATTTTTTCAATTCATTATAAAATGCATAAAACCATTTATAATTATTTATTTAAAAAAATTCAATTTATTCCTACATAATCCGGCCGAGAAATTCAGTGTTCCCTAAATTGATGAACACACGGTATATATTTGAAAATCAAATACTGAACGGGTGTTGTGTTTTGTTTAAATTAATTGACATGCAGCTGTGTTTGAAGTTTTGATTTTGTCCATTTGACCATAATATTATGTCACTCTAATACTATTATAACAATTTTAAACATTCATGAAATTCGAACGTTGAAATTGTTAGAAAGTTATATAGAACTCAAACAAGTAAACAATAATTTATAATTTCCGTTTATAAGTTAAAAATCAATATTGGTCCATCCAGTAAACATTAAAAAATGTAAACGTTTTAGTAATAACCTAATGTAAATAAAATATCATGAGAAATGTATACGTATATATTGTATATTAAAAAATTTAAATGTTGAAATAATGTTTGTTGTAAATACAGAATTTCTCTGAAGGTACCTACATATATACATTTTATATACCATGTGTTGATCGAAACAGGGAAAACTATATATAACTAATAAGTATTTTATGCTTATTTTTAAAATCAGTTTGTGCAGGAACATGAAGCTAGATGTATAAGCAGTTAGCTTTATTATTTTCAAGCAATTACCTGCCCTTATTATTTTTATTTCATGTTTGAATAAATTAAATTGTATATACCATTTCATTATACATATTATAGAATTGAAATTTAATAAATGAGCATATTTTTTTATTTATATATTTTTTAGTCCAGAGCACCGTGACTCAATCAGAGTTCATCAGTCTGACCTTGTTTAATTACGATTTTATTTCGTTATCATCAAACAAATGAATACTTGAAATAGCTTTCATTCAATAAATTTTTGGTTTAGGCTACAAGCTGACCTAAATAAAATTACATTGAAAATTTGGCGAATCCAAATATAATATAAAAACGTCCTTAATTGGGTGGTGTCCGTTATGAGAGGTTTCACTATACTTGACATATAATATGTACCCATATTATAATACCATAAAGGTGTAATACTCACATAATATGCTCAATGCTTTGGATTCCTCTGTTTTCTCCACAGAATTTTGCGCCTCGCACCTGACCAACGAATTGTGCAGTCTCCTAGATATGTTAAACAGCCACAGTTCGGACGTGACTTCGCTCAGCGCGAACTGATCGTTGACGAACCACCGGTAGTTCACTTCCGGCGGGTTGGCTTTCGTCAGGCACAGGAACTGCACGTCCGACCCTTCGACCAGCTTCCTCGCGGGCCCGGCAATGACCAGCGATATCTGTGAAACGATAAAAGACGTCCCGACGTTAAACATGAAAACGATAAAATAATAACACGTGTATTATTGCAAAATATTGTATGTAGGTATAGGTTAAAAAATTAAAACTATTATTAACTATATTGATCAGAACATCGTTATATATACAGGCTGAATTTTTAAGTATTTCTTTATTAATTTTAATAAAACCTCTTTTTTTGCTGAAAATTATCAAATGGACGATTTTTTTGTTTTGAGGACTTGGACGGATCTCAATCAAAATTATAATGAGTATTTTCTGAATTTATTATTAAAAGGTTATGATACTAATGATACGATAATCTTTAAAAACTGATTTTACATAAATATAATAATGAATGAAGTATTTATATACTTGGACCATTTTAACAAATTATAGATAATGATAAATCTATAGTAATTAATAATATTTTCAAATCATCTAACCATACTTAACCCATTGCCAAGACGTATTATTCTTAGTAGGTACACAAATTAATATAACTTAAAATCTGCTTGAATATTAATTTAAATACATCAAAATTTTTTCAGAATTTTTCAGAGTATCCAATTTTCGTTCCTCATCTAGATTCAGTCATATCTTGAAATCACAATCAATCATTTTCTCTAATGGATCTTCATCCCTATGCTATGAAAAAAATGAGTAAATAACAGTTTATTTGCATATCAAATGATATTATAAAACTGTATGGAAATATTTTGTCATCAAATTTTGTAACTGAAGCCACAACATGGTATGAAATGTGGAAAATGATAAAAAAAAAACCATTAGATTCTATTGAATACTTAGATTTGATCGAAATGTCAAAAGATTTTTATCCAGCTGTAGCCGACGCCAAGTATTGAACGTTCATTCAGTACTTTAAGGCGAGTCAAGGCATGGAACAGAGCCACTATGGGTGATAACCGATTGTCCGGATTGTGTATGATGAGTATACATAGAAAGAGACCAGAAGAGGATACCAAATTCATTAAAAATTCAATTGAAGAATTTGGAAAAAACCTAGGCGCTTACAATTGTTATTTAAAAAATAAGTACTATAATACATACTATAAATAATATAATATATAGACAATTATCTGTGAAGTAATATTATCCTATAGTAATAAATAATAGAAATAATGTAGATAGGTAGTTCTGCAAAATAAAATAGTTTCAATACCATTCAGTTTTTTTAATTTAATTWATTTTTTTAAATTTTTGTCAAGCAAGTGGGGTTCAAGTGCACCCCTCGGCCCTCCCTTGCACCACCCTCATGGTGCCCAAACAAAGATGGCTTCAAAGGCCCGAGTACWATGAAAACACAGTTTTTTCGCGATCAAATTTGCGCTTTTCAAAAATATAATATTATGATGTTTCGTATAAAATATAAGAGCTTAACGCAGCTGTTTTTCGCCTGTCGACATCGGTGGCGAACTTTAAAATTAATATTTTGTTATATCCACCTTTCAAAACATCACGCGACAACGTGCACTGTACAGATTAATCGATTAGAGMCGAAATATTTTGGCTCTTTTTTTTTGTAAAAGTTAAAATTGGATTTAATTTTATATGTTATATATATATATATATTTTTTAAACATCGTAGTACAGTTTTCAACAGCTGGTCAACCACAATGCCGATGCCAAATTGAAACTGATAGTCTCGAAATTAACAGACAAACTACCTGATGAAAATATGCAATAACAACTGCTAGTTTGWAGCTATCYCGACAAATCACAAGATGTATTCGTCTTTACGTTTTAAAATTATGTAATAATTAAATATTCATAAGTTATTATGAGCTGATAACAATAAACTTCATAGTAAGTAGTTAACACTGGTTGGAAATTTTAAGTAGTTAACTACTTAAGTTAACTATACAGGTTAGAGAATTCGATTTTTACGTATAAAATGAATTAATGTAAAATATAAATGGTGTAAATAAATGCAACACAAAATAGTCAGTATAATGTTCTGCTTCGAAATTCGAAATTAAGAATTCACGATGCTATTATCTAAAATGTAAAAAAAAAACTTAAAAATAAATACCGATAAAAATAATAATAAAAAATACTTGGAAAAAAAATAAAAATTTCTAAAAACGTTAAGTACGTAATACTTTCCAAGGCAATTAATGATGTTTACTGTTAAAAGAAATTACCTCTTATAATAATAAAAATAATAACATAACGTTCAACTTATAGCATTTACATAGTATTATAATATTAACTATATCTACCGATGTCCGACGTAATATATTGATTGAACGCACTAAAACGGAAAGTGATAAAAAAAAAGCTCTTTGCTAGTCGATAAAAAATGTATMAGAAATAATATTGCGAGTAGCTGTATCTCATACTTATGCATCTACTTGGTCCAGGTCAGATATCACTTAAATTGTATATGTGTATAATACTTCCTGCAGTGATATCGCCGCTCCGTAATTATTAGCGTAATGGCGCGGAATTATAAATCAAAAAAATTAAATAAAACCTTCGGTATTCTAATAATATGACGTGTACCCACTATGCGTGTAATATTACGATATAAAATCGTATATTATAATATTCGGGTTTAGATGCTGTGTGTACTATATTATATTATGCAGGTATAACATATATATAACGGCAGATGAGGTGAACTTATTTCGTATACCTTTACCAATATCAGCTCTAATAWGAGTTCGATTTTTATAATAACGTCTCGCACAAAACGAACGATCGGGAATAATAATTAGATCCTCTCCTCGCCGCGGCACATCACAACCAGCGTACAGAGACCTTACACCCATACAATAATAATAATAATATTAAAATATGCCACTCGATCACACGGACGATAGATTATAATATTATATATATATATATAGGTTACATTATTGTATATTGGGAAATTAGTATTTTTTTCGATTCCGACCGTATATATAGTATATGCACATATAGCCTGAAGCAATATATTATATTATGTAGGTATACAGGGTGATTTTTTAAGCATACTCTATCCATACTCGATTATATTATATTYATAGGTACTCGAATCCTGATTTTTGGACAATTTGAGTAGGTACATTTGATGACCATATTTTCAAACATTTGAGATATTTCGTACTACTTAAACACGATTCCRTGATAATACTGTAGACTTCTATTTTTCAATGTGCAGTTATATACCAGATATTTTTTTGTTGAGAATTTTGATGAGYCCAAATAAAAATTTGAAAGAGTAGTTTTTATTCAATTATATTATAACTTTGTACATAGGTTGTAACTAAAAATAATAATATGTCTATGAGTAAAATGCTTAGACGATTTTAAAACGTTAGTACTATAATGATTATACGATCTACCAATATGAATAATTTGTAAAAACTGATTAAAGTATATAATAAACACTDTATTTAATATTACAAAGAGTTTTTATTTTTGTAAAATCATATTTTAAATATTGTTATTTTTATAGTAAAACAATTTTAACAACTCAGGTACCTGACTTATATAATAGATTTATCAAAATATTGAAGAAAATCATCCGCTAAATATTTAGAAGTAAAAAACATAAGAGTTCTCATTTGAAAAATATAGAAGTTTGTATTGTCACAGGGCACTCTTTTATTAAGTATAGTACCTACCTACAAAAAATATCTGGATTTTGAAAACATAATGGTCTTCAGCAGATTAACTCGAAAATTCTAAAAATCAGAATCCARACAAATGTAGGTACCTTCTGTTATAAAGAGAAAAATGGGGACGAGCATCATCAAAAAATCACCCTGTATGTATATAATATAATATGTAAGTGTAGGTATAACAACAATAATAGATCTGGTCCTATCTTCAGTAGCAGTGAACCAATATTATTATATACGTATACAGCGTAATCGCGGTATGGTGTTGTTATTTTTTTTTTGTTTTTTCATCGTCATCGTCCCGTCCTCAATGTGGATTCACACGCGCATTCGTCGTCTGTCTAGGCGTCCCCTGTGCCGTAGCCGGCGTGTTGTGAGAACGGAAAAAGAAACCCAAATTGGGAAACGGCTGGCGTGGATCGAGTGAGGGGTGGGAAGGAATAACGAGGGGGAAAAACTGAAAAGAAACAATAACCCGTGTAATGGTCGTCGGCGCCGCGGTGGCTGTGGAGGGGGGAGGGTGGTGGGTACTCCGTTAAACAGTGTCATTAATAAGTGTAATATTATTATTAAACATATTATTACGACAAGCGCGCTGTAGTTGTACTTGTAATAATAATAATAATAATAATATACGCGTAATGTGGACGTGTCATATGGGAAGCGGAGAAATCCGTTTCTCCGCCACTATACATACATGTGTGTGCTCAGAGCCGCGGCTACTCGACGTTCCCGGGGTGGGTAAATATATTATGTAYATATAACATAATTATGTTATAAAATACGCGTCGACGACGACGACGAAAAAAAAAAAACGAAAAAAAATTATAAAACATAATAATAATACTATATAATATTATACATATGCGGCAAGGATACTCTACTGCAGACGWCGTCTGTCTGCCAGGCGGTCGGGATTCCGGACTGTGTATACGACGACGGGAGATGGTGATGATTTTTTTTCTCGTGAGCAACACACGACGTTTTTAATGAGATGATATTATGCGCGCGCATCATTCTCTTAACGGTGGCTAATATACATTTATACAGCTACACACAAACTGTTCGAATATATTATATGGTGTATAATATTATTATATTAGTATAATAATAATAACATAATGCGTGATGATGTGTTTGGTAAACCGCTTACGACGACGACGATCGGCGACCCAGACACGGCTCTATTATAATATATATGGTTATAATTTCGAAAAAAATTATTTATTTATGACAGTCTGCGGGGAGCATCGTATTTTTTCCGGCCTCCGCTCGTTTTTTCCACGCATTTTTTCCCCTCTCGTTTTCGATAGCCCGACCATCATGATACGCGTGTGTGTTTGCGTGCAGCTACAGTTTTGAACGGAGAAACGGACACGACCGATTAAATCGATTTTTTAAACAAAATC